GATTGGTCTGTGGGCAAGCCTCTTGATTAATGACTGATGTAGCTGGGCCAAACCCATTGTGTTTGGTGCACAGATCATCTGGAGTTGTATAAGAAAGAAGGCTGAGCAAGTCATGGGAAGCAAGCCAGTAAGCATCATTACCCCAAGGCCTCTGCTTCAGTTCCTACCATTAGTTCCTACCCTGACTTCCTTTATAAGGAACTAATAGAAAATTGTCAGATGAAATACCCTTTCCTCTTGTGGGGGTTTGAATGTGAATGCTCCCTGTAGGCTTATATATTTGCACACTTCGTACCTAGTTGATGCCCTGTTTGGAAGGATTACAATGTGTGTCCTTGTTGGAGGAAGTGTGTCACTGTGTATGAGCTTTAAGGTTTCAAAAAGCTCATACTAAGCCTAGTTGCTCTGTCTTTCGCCGCCCACTTTGGCCAGCAAATCAGGTTATAAAGCTCTCAGCTACTTCTTCAACACCATGCCTGCCTGCCTTCCTGCTGCTATTTTGATGGTGTAACTATAAACAAGTCCCAAATAAAATGCTTTCTTTTATAAGAGTTGCCTTAATCATGGTGTCTCTTCACAGCAACAGAATAACAACTAAGACACCTTCCCACTTTATCAGAGCAATAGAAAATCTTTATTTCAATGTATAGGAAATCTGCACACACATATGCCTCTCAAAGTTTCGTAAGCAAAATCAGGGTTTTCTTTCCCCATTCAACTAAATACAATATGTTTTTTATTCATGGCTCAAGATATTTTCTCAGTATTTATACTGACACCATGAAGAATACAAACACAAGTAAAAATAAGTGTTTATCTTCAGGCTGGCAAAGATACTGTCATAAATATACAATTGTAGTCTAAGTTTAAAAACATAAGTTTTGCTGAATTTTAGAGATTTTACAAGCATTCGATAATAAGACAGAAATACTCAAGTGATAAAATGTCCTGATATAACTGTCATATCCAGATGAACATGGTAGGAAGTATGAGAAGGAACAGTGCAATTGAGTCTCAGGGGCATTTTCTCTAGACATTGGTAGCCTGGAAGATTCCTGGAGAGCCCCTGGTCCCTAGTCAATGATGAACGTTTGGAAATATTTGTTCTGATGTCAAGGAAGGAATCAGCAGCAGCCACAGCAACAAGGCAAATAACTGAGCAAGAGGGAAGGCTAGAAGGCCAAATGACCAAAATGCAAGATGATTTTCTTTCTGCCATACCTTTTATCTGGACTGCCACCAGAAGGTGCCACCCACAGCCAGGATGGGTCCTTCTATATCAGTTAAAGCAATCAGGACACTTCTTTAAGTGATGCTCCCTGCTCAGGTCATTTTAATTTGTGGCAAGTTGACATTAAAACCAACCATAGGGTAAGTCTGAGTCTATTATTAGAAAATTATAAAGATTTGAATGCTAAGGCATGCTCCAAAGCCTCTGGGGCAACTTCTTGGAACAATTAAGAGAAAAATCTCATAAGCTGCTGTGCAGACAAAATGAAAAACAAATGTTAACTTGTTGTATGTCTTACAATGTTCATAACTGTAACACTACTTAGACATGTACTCTGATTTTTTCATTACTGGCGACAAACTATTAACCAACTACTTTTCTATTTAGCCCCCCAATACATCTTGGGGATTTTAATTGCTATTTCAAGATACATAGCTAGTGTATCTTTTTCATATACTTTTATAAATTGGTATGTAGTAAACATGTCCTTAGCTATGCATTATTTAGCCGAGAATATGTTTAAATGTTCCAAATGCATAAATCTTTCCCTAAATAAATATTGATGCTATGAATCTAATATCTACCATTCATGATGAACCCTGAACAACCCACAAGAGACTCTACCAGTCACTATGCATTTGACTAACCAGTGATACAAATGTCATTTTCACAGGTATGCTCACATTCACATTAAATTTCAGATAAGCATGTAGGTGAATGTAAATTCCTATTACCCCATAGAAACACGAGTAATATTTTAAACACAAAATCTCAGGTGACTGTAGTAGCTAAACATAATTCTGATATGCTTCACAAAAATCGCAGTTAGTTTGTATTTTTCCCTAAAGCATATATAACCTATGAATAGCTGTGAACATAGAAACTGTTTATTAAAACTTTCTATGTTATTATTATACTACACTAAGATTTGGCTCATGAATAACAAAAGCAAATTTGTAATTTAAAAGGAAATCCAAGCCTGTTTAAAAAGATCTTTCATGTTCTTCAATTTGCCCAAGGAGAAAAATCTAGTAATGAATGCTCCTGGGTTCTACTAGACAATGATGGGGCTATGAGTTCTAGCTTATACTAGTTCAATTAGTAATACCTTATGATGCTCTTTCGTTTAAATTCTTGGCAAGCTTATACTGCTGTTATTTTTACAGTATCTCTGAAAAGCAGACTAGTAAAGTCATTGCCTTCATTTTATAGGTAGAGAAATAAAGGTACAGAAAGATTAAGGAATTTTGCTAGGGTCATATGATGAACAAAAAGTACTCATAGTAGATGGGGTGATAAATGATTGTGATTCCAGCACTTGGGAGGTGGAGTCGGAAGGATAAGTGCTTCCAGGTCATCCTTGGTTATGTAGAAAGTTATAAGATTAGCCTGGGTTACACAATTCTGTCTCAAAATTCTAGAACTGGGGGTGGTAGAGGGAGAGCAATGGCAAAAAAATAAAAATTAAAAGACTCTAGTTAATTGTTCTCATTCTTAGTTCATAGAGGGGTTTTGTTCTTGTTATTTTGTTTGTGGTTTTGTTTTAGACAGGGCTTACTATGTAGCCTAAACTGATTTCAGATTTACCAGAATCTTTCTGTCTCACCTTCCTAAATGCTGGTATTACAAGCTCAAGTAGCTGCATGCAGCTATGTGGTTTAATACGCATAAACATACTTCTACTCTAAAAAATCTGAGAAAGTGCACTTAAAGTAATCAAGAACCAAAGGTAAATAGGTCTATCAGTATGTATTCAAAAACACTATTCTACAGGCATATAATAGAGTAAAAACTAATAATTTGGTTTTGGCTGGGTGCTATAGTTATTATATATATTTTGTTACTTGCAGCTTTCAGAAACTTTTCAGTTCTTTTCAAAATGAACTGTTGATTTCTGTCATCTGATGCTAGGTTAACATAGCTGTGAACAACTACGCAGTGGCTGAGACAGTTTGATGAATCTGAGGTTGTTCTCCATTCCATAGCTATTTGTGAAGCCCACTCTCCTCTCCATCGATCTGTGATTAGTACATGCTGTTGTTATTAAAAATATTAACAAATACCAATATCGATAACACTTCATCTCAGTTTGCAATACTATATGAGGGTTAGCACTGACTTGTTTCTGGTATACCTGACCTTTTTATAGTCATTAGACCATTAGGTATTAGAAAATACTAGACTATTAGAATTTCTATGGATAGTGAGATATATTAATATAGTATATAAAAATTTTCTCAAGTAAAGGCAGAAAGGAGGAAAGGTTTTGCAATTGTGGTCAATGAAGTGAGACTGGATCTGCTTGAATGTGGTCATGTAAACCTGTGGTGTTTCTATCTTCAGGTCCTGCAGAATTCTGAATCCACCACAGAGCAACTGCCATTAGATAACACCACTCTTATTTCAAATAAAGAAATCCTTCTCCCACAACCTATGTCCATCCTTCTTTATCTCTGTAGTAAAGTACACCTTTATGTAATGGAGATATAGCTTTGTTACTGTTTGCTAGCTAGGCATTGAACCCAGGGTTCCATCCCCAGCAAAAACCAAACATGATGGTGCAGGTCTGTATTACCAGTACTTGGGAAGTGGCGTCTGATGTTTAAGGTCAACCTCAGTTAAGTGGCCAATTGGAGGTCAGCTTACGATAAACGGCACAGTCTCAAAACATCAAAAACCACACGCAAGCTTAACCTGCATCTCTCCCAAGGCAAAATAAAACATTCTCATTGCCACTTCCATTCTCTTTCCTACCTAGCAAATAATCCTCACCTTACATGGATGGCTTCATCATTCAAACCATCTCCTTTAGCCACTTTTAACACCTTCTCTTTGTACTAGGAAAAGGCATTTACTTATGTTTAAAACAGTAAAGTCATCAATTCTTCCCTCCATTCACACTTCCAAACACAGCTATTTTGCTTTTTAAAATTCATTTATTTTTATGTGCATTGGTGTTTTGCCATGGGTGTCAGGTCTTCAGGAACTAGAGTTACAGACAGTTGTGGGCTGCTATGTGGGTACTGAGAACTGAACCAGGGTCATCCGGAAGAGCAGTCAGTGCTCTTAACTGCTGATCCATCTCTCCAACCCCAATCACTTGTTGTCCTGACAGCCCACTTGACTGGGGAGGCAATCCTTGAAATAGTTATGCCAACCAAGTCTTGGCTCTCAATCTGAGGCCAAGGGAGATAGCATTTTAAAGTCACAGGAAGAATGTGTGTCAACAAACAGACGTTGGTAAAGTATTTCGAACTTGTAGGAAGGTTTAAAGACAACAACCAGTTCCGTTAAACTACAAATCAGTGTGTCAATGGGGCCACCGCCTTATCTCTGCACCATATCTACTAGTATCGAAGGGGACCTTAGACGTATCCAAAAGGAACCAGAAGCCCATCCGCAGAGGCCAGTCCCAACCACAGTGGCCAGTTTTTCGGGGTAAGCAGCACTGAGACCGTCCAGCCAAGACAGGCGACCAACCCACCTCCCAGGATTTGACCTGAGATAAACCACGTCGCAAGCTGCACTGGAAAACGCCTGCCAGAGAACCCAGCAGCCCCCAGAAGCAAGATGGCGGCGTCTCCCTCCCCCTCCTTTCCCCAGGAGCCCCTTCGTGTCCTGAGGGGACGAAGACGCCGCGGCCAGGGAACCCCGGCCAGGCGTTGGGAGGTAATTAGGCTTCGCAGACGGAGACAGCCACCGTGAGGCCGCCTGAAGGATGTCCCACTGAGCCTCGCCAGTGTCCGTAGAGCCTTTGTTCGTGGCCGCCATGGTCTTTCCGGCCCCGCGGACCGGAAGTTTCGGCGGGCGCCCCGCCCCACTCCCCCGCGCCCCGGAAGTGATCTGGGGCGGCTGCTGCAGAGCGGCCGGGAGGAGGGTGGGTCTCCCCAGAGCGGAGTGCCGGAGTCCTCCTCCTCCGCCGCCCAGGCCGCCGCCGCCCTCCGGACTCCTGCCGCGCCCCGCGCGGAACTCCGAGTGCAGTGCCGAGCGCGGCCCGGTCGGCACAGCCGAGGCCCGAGAGCCCGCGGGGCGAGCAGCTCGCGGTGCAGGTGAGCGCCCGCGGGCTGGGGAGGCCGGGCCGCGGCGGGGGTGTGTCCGACGGGCCTGGCCCGCGGCCGCCGCGATGCACGTCCCGCCAGTCGCCCGGGCTAGAACCTGTCTGCGCCCCGACAGCGGGCGGCCTCTCGGGAAGGTCACCTGCATCACGCCGGTGACTCCCAGGGCCGCGCCCGGGCGGTGCCCGCGACCTGGGGCCGCCGCAGCCGCAGTCCCTGCGCCGCACTCCACCCCTGGCCTCCCTCGCCTTCAATCCACTCCTTGCCGGTACAGAGCAGCTGCTTTTCAAGCTTCTCCGCCAGGGTTTGGTGCCAGTTAAAGGAATGGCTTTTTCAGACTGAAGTCTTTGGACGCTTCGCGTCCAGCTGAATGCTCATGGGCTCTTGTACAGGTTTAGCCTCTAGAAGAGGAAGGGAATGTGGGTATTGTGGGTGTCTTCCGCGCTTGGTTCCTGAAAGATGTCCAGGAGTAGAAGACAAGATTTGTGTGCTTTAATTAGGTATGAGTGTGTTTGAGTGGACGGGCGTGGCGGCTTGAGGTGGACTTGGGGTAAATTAAGGAATTAACTGGCCTTTGCTTGGAAACCAGAAAGTCCAGACTTGTGAGAGCTCATCCAAGTGTCTTTGAGCTTCTGTGAGAAGGAACTCTGGTGCCACGCCCTACCTGTCAAGCTGGAAAGCACCCAATCCACAGTTTGGGTTTTTGTGCCGGGAGAACCTTTATTTCTGTAAATTCTTTTCCTGTAAATAAATTACAGCTTTAACCACGTTCCCAAAATTGGGTAACATATTCATTACTGACAATATAGAAGACATTTCTTTTGGCTTATGTTTGTTAATATGTCCAAGAGTATCATTGGCTTATGTTTTTTTGTATCTGTTGATACAATATTCTTGTAAATGACTCTTGTGACCTTTAAGATGTTTCTTACACCCAATCTTAATCAAAAAGAGGAAGTTAAGAGTTGATACTGCTTGGAAATACACGGCAGAGCAGGGTTGCTCAGAGTGGCTCATTTTGAAGTCTTCTAACACCCCAATGTGACCTTGCATCTTTTCCCAGCAGGAACTTTCATGTTTCTGTCCTGAGATCCACATGTTTCCCTCTGCTGAGTGTGCAGTTGTGTGTAACATTTATTTTGAAGCAGTATTTCATTACAACACTTTTTCCCTAGGGTTTTCAGGGTGGGGAAGACTAATTATAGGAAAGAATCTTGCTCACCACTTTAAAGGGAATATTTTGGACTATGGATGGTTGCATTATTTTCAGTTCAGGGATGTCTAAATGAAAAGCAAGCTGCAGATGTCTTCTTCTAGTAAGTATATGATGGCCCTGGCTTTCTAAAGAGCACTGTTTCTACAGAGCACAAATAAATGTACCAATACTACTTCTTATTTATGGAACCACCAAACTAATAGGTTCTTGTATTCTTTCATAAATGGTAAGGACAGTCATTTTACAAATACTGGCATAATAATCTGAATGTTAACTAGGGAAGAGATTATGATCTTGAAGTGTTAGGAGATAGTATGTTTCCATTGTTTTATAAGATATTTTAATTCTTAGATTAAGGAGAGGGAAGCCTTTGGTTTCTTTTTTCTTTAACTTTATTTTATTTGCATTGGTATGAAGGTATCAGGTCCCTTGGAATAGGAATTACAGACAGTTATGAGCTGCCATGTGGGTGCCTGGAATTGAACCCAGGTCCTCTGGAAAAGCAGCCAGTGCTCTAGGCCAAGCTTTGGTTTCTCAACATTACTATGTAGAAGTTAGGTTTCCCTTCTTTAATTCAACAGCCATCATGGCATTAATAGTTCTCATTTATTGATTGCCACTCTTACTTAAGGATTGTAATGATGCTAGTACTACTTGTATTTTTTTCTTATCTCCACAATATCTCTGCAAGATGGGTGGTCTTTCCCCAGTGCTAAGAGATATTATTTGGCCAGAGGCACAGCTCATAAGGTAGTGTGTAATAGAGCTTGGATTTGAAAGTACAGTAACCAGTTCTAAGAGCGCTGAAAATGGCAGCTAGTCCTTAAAGTCCTAGGAAAGATGATTGTGACTGAGCTGAGTGTCCAGAAAGCCAGATACTGCTTCTTAGCCATGAAGTATGACCTGGTGTCACCAGTGACCCTAGCCAAGGAGTGTCAAGTGGGAATTGCTGGCATCTTTATCTCCAGGGTGCTTGCAAACACAGTGAGTGTACCCCTACATACAGTCTGTGTGTGCCTAGAGGAAAGTGGTAGAGCATTGTTCTTGCTGATGTCCCAGTAGAATACTAGGACCTCCCCACAGGCGCTCTGATGACTTTATGCTCCTGCAGCACCTGTGTGAGATGAGTGCCATGCCTGTTTGAAATCATGTTTGTTTTCTTTTTCTTTCTGCCACTGATGTAAGTGTGATCCAGGTAGGACAGTAGGAAGAATGTTTAAAAAAACACACAATACTTGCTGAACTCTGTTTGTGTAGGTCTGATTGTTTCCCCCCTCCCTTTGCAAGTATGTACTAAAAAAAGAAACAAAAAACAAAACAAAAAAAGTTTTAATGGGTTTAGTCTAGAGGATGTGTCTGTCTATTGGTTTAAAAGATGAGAAGGAAGAGGCTATTGCTCCAAATAACAAAGCTCCTTTTGCACCCTTATGAGGAACAGTCTCTTAACTGTGAGACACCTTTTTTTAGTATGTTACTGTGTTTAGAAAAAGTTGCTTTTCAGAGAGACAATGAAATTAAAGCTCTGTGAGGCTTTTAAAACTGCAGAAATTTTAGAAGGGAATTTTCATCATTGATTTAATCATACATGAAAGTGGAGGTTTTATTTCCTCAAAACCAGGAGAGTAGTCTTTATAAGCCATTAAATAATTTTTGTTTTTCCAGGCAGTGTTTCTCTGTATTGCTTTCAAGCCTGTCCTGGAACTAGCTCTGTAGACCAGGCTGGCCTCAAACTCACAAAGATTCACCTGCTTCTGCCTCCTGAGTGCTGGGATTAAAGGCATGGACCACCAACGCCCCAGCAAATAAATATTCTTAAATGCAAAAATAACTTTGAATAGCTGAAGGAAAAAGTATCACTCATGTAAAAATTAAATATGACACTTTTCTGAGAACTTTGCACAGTATTAGATACAAGAGACAGAATACCAAACATACATAATTTCCTCAACTCCAAGTTCCAGTTTTTTTGTTTGATTCAGTTTTGAAACTGTCAGGCTTTCACAGTATAATTATGGACAGTCATGCAGTGTGAAGGTAGATGAAAATCCTATTTGCACGAAGGATATGATGGTGGCAATTTAAGTCACAAGATGTCTGTGTCTTTTTTTTTTTAAAACAGTCCAATAGCTATGGTGGTACCCATTGAAAATGGAGGCAGCTCAGTGGGTTTCAAGTGCTTTTATTCTGATTACTGAGACTCCTGCTTGCCTGGTTCACCTTGTAATCTTTTCCTCATATTTAAAACAGACATCATATCTTAATGGTTGAAATCCTATGGGTCCTTTTCCAACATTATCCTTATCTGGTACATAGAACCTTCCAGAAGCTACTTACCTAACTCCCTCACTAGCCTCATCCTTTTGCAGGAGCACAGTTCTAACAGTGCTACCATCTGAGAATCCGAGTGCTTACTCAGGTGATCCCACTCTTCCCCCAAGTCCAGTAAACTGTGAGTCCTTCAGACTCCAGTTAGTTTACACCTTTTCCAAGAATTGTGTCTAGTTGGGCTTTTTCTTCTTAGATCCATATCTTAAAAGAAAGAAAGAAGAATCTTTAATACTGGACTAAGTAGGAGTAGCTGAGTACTATGGTCATGCCTCTAACTCAGCTGAGGCAGGATGACTGTAAGGTGAAGTAAGTAGTGAGACTCTGCCTTAGGTTGGAGGGAGTCTGCTGTGCTTCCATGACTATTCCAGAACTTACTGGAATATGCTTGTGGAGAATGCTTTTATCCACTTATTTCAAGTTTTGTTGTATTCTCATGGCTGCTGAGTTCCCAGTGTGTGCCACAGTGTAGTTTTCTTTTGTATTTTTCTTATTATAAGCGAATTGAATGCTTTTAATATGCTTAAGAAGAAATATATTATTAGCCTGGTTTTCTACATGATTTTTTTTTTTTGGCATTTTTTTAACTTCATCTTTTCAATGTTCTCTTTTTGTATTTAAGAACATTAGTTTTTAATTGTTATAAGTTAAGATATTTAGTTGCTTAAGTTGTTTTTGTCATGAAAATTTTTCTTTTGCTTAATCAAATATATTCATCTTAAACTTACTTCATCTGGAGTTCTAACCATAGAAAGCTTTTCTGTGCCCTTAGGTTATGGAGGAATTTCTATTTTCTTACAGTTTTATTTCTCATATTTAGTTCCACATGGGGCATAATTCTATATATGAAGTGATAAATGAATGTAATTTACTATGTTCCAAATATTGATTGTAGTTATCAAGTGCCATTTATGAAAACCAGTATTTTGCTCATTTGACACATGTTGTATGAAGCTGGGTGTGTTTCATTCTGTATGCTTCTTTGACCAGTGGTGTGCCAATACCAACACTCACTCTTAGAGGTTTCTGTCACACTGAGGTAGGTCTGCTGTACTCTTGGACTGGGTAGTCCCCATTGCAGTAGCTCTTCCTCAGTGTTTCTGTGGCTCTCTAGTTTTGCTGTGTTTTGTTCTCCTAGTGAATTTTAGCACCAATTTGCATGATTCTGTTGCTGTTCTTACTGGAATTGCATTGAATTTATGGATTTACTCAGGAGCAATTGACTTCTTGATGGTATTGAGACACTTTAACATTAATGTAAAATGTCCTTGTTTCCTTGTTTATTTTTGTCTTTAAGAACTGACTTAGGTTTTTAAATACAACTTCTATGTTTCTTATTTAGTCACATTTTAGCCTTTTTTAAGTACATCTCCAAACTGATTATTATTTATGCATATAAATACTGTTGATTTCTGCTCATTTTCCTGATACCTTGCCAAATTCATTTACTTTATACTGTTTTCTCTTAGGCTTTCCAATACTGTCACATCTGTAAATACAACTCTTCTTCCTTCTTCTCTGTGTTTATCTTTTAACATGTCTAATTTCTTTAGCTGGTCTCTCTAGAACAGTATTAAGTGGCTATACTGATGCATACAGTGTACCTGGATATTGATTTGGTGTTTCAAATACTGCAGTTCTCTGCTGTCCCTTTAAGAGAGATTTAAATAGAGACAGATACATTGAGAGGCAGTCAAGGCTGGGTTTCCTGGGGGGAAGCAGCAGACTATAATGATGAGCCATGTTAAGACTGCTTGGTGTTTCCCCAGTTTATGTATA